ATACCTAGCAGTCGGTAGATTTCAGTGTTTCGTGGTAGTAGTGGCTGATTTGTTTACAGATAGTAAAGTGATTAGCAAAACCGTGAATAGTGATCGAATGGAGAATTTTATGGTAATTGGTAATATGAAACTTTGTATTTTATTTTATTTCTATTAACTTGACATCATCCCACCGCGTCACGAGCCTATATGGGTCCACTGCTGAGCAAAGGCCGCTTCTCCGTTGTGGAAGAAATGTGCATTAATCACCATGCGCTTGCGGTTTATATCGGCTTTAAGTAGTGATTTTACACTAACGCCACCAGACTGGTCTTTAAGCCTGATGAAAGAATTATTATCCGTTATAAAAACAAACAACCGTTTATTTCTGAATCTTCCAACTTCCATAAATACAATTTATAACTCACGTAAACGATATAGGTACTTACCTACTTATCTATCTATAAATAATATTGGAGATCGCATACCGATGTGTTTACCAATCACTCTGATAGTAATAGTTTCAACCTTAGTTTTATGGCTATCTACTAGAGAGGATGGATATACCCGATATACTGATCGGAAGCAATATTTTGGGAGATGCCTGTAAAATTTTGTATAGGTTTATGGATTGATTTAGTAGATTTTGGCTTGGTTTACTTTTATAAAGTACCTAGGTATCTTGTCTATCTTTGTAACTGCAGAACAAACTTTTTTCGACCTCCTGTTTTTTTGTGAGGGGAAATCATCAAATGACTTCTCTCGCGTGTCAGACTTACTAACACACCCCAGCCTCTAAGCCGAAGCCGCAGTACCTTATGGTGCTTGCCCTACAACTTACGTATACATAGTAACTATTTAGTAGCCTGTGCCGCAACCCCGGCCTAACATTGGCCTTACAGGTGGTCTAATGCCTCTTTGAGGGTCGCGCGTCTTATGGTCGGGTCTGATTCTAGTCGGCCGGCGAGCTACCCTTGCCCGCGGCGCGTTTAGGGAGGCTGGAGATCATCTCTCGATCCCCGACGTCTGGAATGACGCCTACTGCGGCTTGGGCGTGAGGAGGATAGCTTTCTCATGCACTCCGCCTCATACTTTGCGAGCATTACAGATTCGCAAAAAGAGGAGACAGTTTCCCAGTTCCTCTTGCTTCGCACCATTATGACCTCGACTAAGCCCATGCAGGGCAGACACAGCCACCATTTGCTCCACTATGTCCTCCAGGTTATTCTCACAATGACGACACCCGGGCGTTTTCTCCTGCCAGATCCGAAACAGGTACCTATCGGATCTTCTGTCTCCGGTAAGAACCTGTATTAGCCTGAAGGTGAAGACGCCATGGCATCTCTCTTCATGCTCAACAAATCATCTAACTTTGTAGATAAAAAACCTTTTATTTATTTGCTTTCCTAATTTAAAATTTTAAAGTATTGGTTGACGAAACCTGGTTGTCTACCTATGAATGTTGGATACCTACAGCACAAAAAAATCAATCTCAGTATGGCCAAGCACTAATTTAGTGGACTGTACATTCAGAAACGGCTCGTTTCCTTAGTATTATTGACGCTCGTACTCCTCGGCTCATTGCCAGCAAAGTTATAACAATCACGTTAACTGTTCAGCTACTCTGAACCTATATTATGCAGCTGATTGTGCAACTAGAACATTTTGTAAGATAAACACCTTGTTTACATAAATATTGTATACTGCTTTGTAATAAATTCTCGGATTAATTTGTTTCTCACTCTCACGCGGTTTCACTCGCTGCTCGGCTCCATTTAATCGTAGCGTGATGTTTTATAACCTATAGCACTCAGGAACATTGCAGCTGCAATCAGTGAAAGAATTTTGGCAATTCCACCTGCAGTTCCAAAGATTACCCCCTACATACAAACTTAAAACTTACAAATTTTACCTCTTTATAATATTAGGTTGATTAGTCGCAGGAGGTAGCCTAACTAACCTGCCTAGTAGGGGTCTCCTGGATTATTGGAATTTGTTCAGATGTTCAAAAATCTGTCTGGTATTCTGTCAGCGAGTTTGCAGGGCAAGCGCATTGAGACAACGGGGCCAAGGCGTAGAGCAGTCACTACCACCCGCCCGACCCTGGGCGGGTGAAGTCAGGTCATGGTTGTCTCTTCACAAAAAAAAATGTGCCAGTTTATGGCAATAGGTTCACCCCCTATGACGGATGGATATTGGATGATGGATGTTGGATGATGGATGTTGGATGTTGGATGTTGGATGTTGGATGTTGGATGTTGGATGTTGGATGTTGGATGCTGGATGATTGAGGTTGGATGTTGGATGTTGGATGTTGGATGATGGATGTTGGATGTTGGATGCTGGATGATTGAGGTTGGATGTTGGATGTTGGATGATGGATGATGAATGTTGGATGATGGATGGTGGATGTTGGATGATGGATGATTGATGATCGGTAATGGATGCTAGATAAAGGATGGATGAATCTCGACAGGACACAATGCATTGTTAGGTGCAGTCATATCCGAGGACCTTGTATTGGTCTAACTTTTGAGTAACAACTCAGTAAGAATAAACCTCAAACTATGAAGTAAGCAAGTTATTTGTTTAAAATCATCTATATTCATAAATATTAAAGAAACATCTAAGAAAAAGTGAAGTGAACCTATCTCTACTACTAAGAGTTTACGGTCGGTTCCATTTCATCAGTAGGGGGCGCCACGGTCGAGTAGTCAGGAGATGAGCTTTCACCACGACCAGTCAAACGTGACGTAATAACTAATAAGGAATTTGATTACAAAAGGGAATCGTGCGCGACTCGGTACACGAAGTAAGGTCTTTGATCTTAATAAAAATAAATCTACTTACAAAGAAAAAAATACATTTGAAGCCGAAACTTGAGTCACGATCACGAAGTGTGGGAGATCCATGCTTCGGCACGAATGGGTCAGCTCGACCGCAGTTTTACCAAGGAAACCTCACACCTCACAGAAACCGGCGTGAAACAACCACAGCGTTGTGTTTCGCCGTGTGGGTGAGGTTACCGGAGGCCCAATACTTCCCCTCCCCCAATCCCTCCTCAATCCCTAAATCTCCAAATCCCTAATCCCTAAAAGGTCAACAACGCACTCGTAACTCCTCCGTTGCGGGTGTCCAAGGGCGGCGCTGATTGCTTACCATCAGGTAATCCGTCTGCTCATTTGCCAACCTATTACATAAAAAAAAACGCTCGCTGTGTCAAGATTATAGGCCCTTGTCGTGGCTTGAAATTAGACGACTCATGTCGTCAGTCAGTGGCATGAATAAAGCGTTTTACCTAATTAATACCAACGGATCCAATAACACTCTGTTTTACATTACCAATCTACATTAATCTTTCCATCTCTCAATTCCTCTAATCACCTAATCTTTTTTCTTATGTGATGGAACGGCAAACGAGCAGACTGATTACCTGATGAAAACATATGCACATGAAAACTCCAATAACGAAGGAGTTACGAGTTAGTTGTCGACCTTTAAGCTAATTCCTTAGAAGAGAATTCCTTCCTCCAGGTTTTGGAGATTTGGGGAGGAGAAGGGTAAGGCATTTACTTAATCCTCAAACCCCTTACAATCCCTGACTCTTCTGGTATAGTGAGTGTTAATGGGCGGCGCTGAGTGCTTTACATCAGGTGTACCGTCGGCTCACACCCAAAATTTATTCATTAGTATTATGTATATGGCTTTGGTAGACTAGAGACAAAACCTTTCCAAACAATATGATCCCTCAACAGACTTTATACTCTATTTAGAAAGTGTTAAGGTAGATTACGTATTACTCAGGCAATCAACGCTCAATTCTCAATCTCATGGTTACAAAGCTAAGCTAGACTACGTTCACACACTGTATGTATCATGTCAAGTTTCCAAGAACTTTCTTAGCGTGTGATTGGGAACGCTTCTTGTCTCTGTTTGTTTGTTTTCAATTATTATGTTGGTATTACGAGCTGCCGTACTGTGGCAGCAGAGTTGAATAATATGGATGCTCTACCCGCACTCCTCATACAGGTATCAGTTACTAAACAGAAAGGCTCTCATCTTTTGCGAAATAAGCTTAATGAGGTAGGGAACTTCGGCCTGGAGTTAGGTGAGGAATGAGATAGCCTGATCTTTCTCGGCTCACCTTGGGCAAAAGAAGTCATTGGATGATTTCCCCACCTTGTAAAAAGAGACAGCTCTTTCTACAAGGTCTTCTACGGGGCAAGTACAATTAGGTTTCGCGGCTTCCGCCTGGGGCTGTAGAAGAGACGGGGTAGTTTTTTGTCACTAAGAGTCTGACACTCCCTCTCTATGACACTCACACGCGATACCGTTGGCTAGAAAAGCCATTTGATGATTTCCTTTTCACAAAAAGGAGCTTTCAATCTTTATCCTCCTCCTGCTAGTATCATAGAGGAAGCCCATATAGTCATAGCTGTATTGATGTCACAGATTAATAGGTAATACTGTGCTTGGCGTAAACTTATCGAATAGTTTCAACCAGACGGTTTTACTGAGCAGTAAAATTCTCTTGAACAAGAGAGTAGTAGCAAAATACCACCGCTCAGTAAAGTTCTTACAGTTCTCAGATGGAGAAGGTTTCAGCATTAATCTTTTTAACTATACAGTTGATGCGGTGGCTGGGCAGCCGGCTGTCCTACAGGGTGTCGTGGGTTAGAATCCCGCATGGAACAATTCTTTGTGTGATCTATAAATTGTAGTTCTTTATCTTGGTGTATTGTGTGTATGTCAACGCACACACAACACATGACAAAATTTTAATGTAAGCAATGGTTAAAAAAAACAAATATCTACGATTGCTGAAAGCGGATTGACAACTCCAAACACAACAGCGATCATAATTATCAGCAAAAGCTGTCAAAAGCCAAATCAAAATTATTATTTCTTAACAAAACAAAATCTCGATAGTCATATCAAAATACAAATTAAATGAGTAACCCTCAGCCTCGTTTAATCACCTTATCTGCAGTGACGTCACAGCTCTGATACTTCTGTTACAGTGCTGCAGTATGCGCGAGAGTCTCCGTCGGCTCGCGTCAGACGATGGCATGGAGCGGCGCGGGCGCATCGCCGGCACCCGGCGCGTGCGCGTCGAGCTCATGTTGGCGGAGCACATTACTATTGATGTTGATGTAAGTACATATACATTGTGTATTGAAAACTATCTATACTTATAATAGACTTACATTTTATTAATTTAAGAATTTTCACTTACTCACTTACTCAATATTTAATATTTTTGAATGTGATAGGTCGGCAAACGAGCACTCGGCTTATTTGTTGGCAATCGTAAGTAATCGTGGTAAGCAATCGCAACACTAAAGGAATTGAGAGTGCGTTACCGATTTTTTAGAGTCTTTTAGGGTTTCGGAGATTTAGAAATAGGGGGAGAGGAAGAAGATTGGGCCTCCGGTAATCTCACTCACACGGAGAAGCACAACGCTATGATTGTTACGCGCCGGTATTCCGTGGTATCACTCTGCTCGAGTCGTGCTGAAGCTTGGTTCTCCCACATTTAAAATACAGTACCGCCATCCATACAGTTATTCTTGTTTGAAACTCTGGCAATCAGATAAAAACTAACCCCACAAACTCTAATCTCAAATATTCTCAATCCAATCCTCACTAACCGCGTCTTGAATCCACATTATTCAATTAAGGTCGACACCAATTACCATCAGACACGAGTGACCTTGTGTTTGTACAGACATTACACCCGACTCTGTTCGTAACAAACTGAATCAAGGATTGAAAAGAGACGAGGCTTAGGAGTTGTTTCTTCTTTTGTTTATTTTCGTGACACTACAACCTGTCTTGTATGAAGATTATAAGTGACTAGCTACTCTCACGCGGTTACACCCGCTGCTAAGCTGCGTTTGCTCGTAGCGTGATGTTTTATAGCCTATAGCACTCAGGAATATTGTAGCTATCTATCAGTGAAGGAATTTTGGCAATCCGACTAGCAGTTCCAAAGATTACCCCCTACATACAAACTTACAAAAGTTTACCTCTTTATAATATTAGTATAGATATAGACAACCGTTTTACTAGCGCCATCTCGTGCGAGAAAAAGCAATCAATCCTTGTTATAAGCTTATCTACATAGTATGAACTGTTGATCTTATTAATTACCTAAATAGTGACTGGTATCGGCTTCGCGTGGGTACAATGCTGTACTCGATTTCTCCACTATTTAATTTATATTATTACATACATAACCTTCTTCTTCGATTACTCTATCTTTTACAAAACCGGCATCAAAATCGGTTGCGTAGTTTTACAGATTTAAGCATACATAAGGTGTACAGAGTAAGCTTTGTTTTATACTATTTACCCAGTTATATGTTTAGCGGCTTATTTCTGTAACTGTTTGGTAAACCTATCTCGCCCCGATAAAGCGGTAGATGCCAGATTTTATCTAAAGATATAGAGCAACGAAAAGGATTTTCTCTTGTGTCGTAGGTGCGTTAAAAACATAAAATATCACACTTCACACATCACACACAGACCCGAAACAACAATTTGTGGATCACACAAAGAGTTGGGCCGTGCGGCAATCGTACCAGCGCGTTGCGCGGCAGCCAGTTTCCCAGCTACCGCACCAACCGTGCCGTCAGTTTATTACGTATTTATCTATCTTAAAAATATAATTAATGTTTAAATTAAAGTAATCAGTATTGAACACTAGAATGTTAAATCAACATCGGTAGCAACAAATATTAACAATGCTATCTTAGAACGTGATAATATAAGTGAAAGGTTAATGCATAATGCAGGTAGACACGAGCCAGGCTAATGTAACGCTAAACACTATCTACAGTTAGGCACTAAAGGAATGCGTGAAGGGCGAATGCAGCTTTTGGACCTTATTGGAATTGGAGAATGTAACTTCGTGATGTAATGAATGGGTACTAGGCTAGCAGAAACAATAAGGAGTTTAAGTCAATTGTACGGACTGGAATACTTATAATGTATCCTTAAGATGGCATTGTAACTCGCTGCTGAACCGTAAGCAGACCTAAGCGTACGGCATTCCGCTCGCGTCTGTAAGAGCATCAGGCCGATGTGCAGCCAGGTTGCGGATGTAACCAGGCTCGCAGCAAGAGTTGGAGCGCCACGGCGTCACGCGTTATCTCGCCCCACATAAGATGGTAGAAGATGTAGGTAGAATTGCCTCCCTCAAACACCACAGATGGGGCCGATGTCCAGCCAGGTAGCAGATGCAAACGCAATAATGTACCACACCCTAGCTCTTGGGAAATTGAGTAGGATGGTTTTAGTCAATAAGAGTGTCACACTATATCTCGCCCCACCCAAAGGCATAGAAGACAATGGCTGAATTACCCTCCTTAAGAAAACAAACGACGATTTCCCCCACAAAAATGGGACAAAAATGTATATAATATACATATGTATGTGTGATAATTAACTATACACCCTTTTTATCCGGTATAGTTAGTCCCTAAAACATAGTATTGAACAACAAAAAAAAAAACAACTAAACCATATACCAACGATAAAACAGAATAATATAGTCAGTCTGTTCGTCAATGAAGCAAGGTGCTCATTCCAAAGTGTAGATTCGAATGGAGAAGAACGAGCTAGAAACCCCTTTTATGAGACAGCCATTAGGATTCCCTATTGGCAGTCTTAGGTAGAGCCCAGTAATTGATATGTATATCTGTTCCTTCCAGCGTAAAGCTCGGGGCTCCGACCTGCTGGACAAGATCTGCGACTCCTTGGATCTGGTAGAGAGAGACTACTTTGGACTACTGTACACACAGCGAGGGGATCCTAGGGTCTGGGTAGACCTCAACAGGAGACTGTCTAAGACTTTCAAAAGTAAGTAGCTCTGTAGTTATTCTATTTCTTGGAAGGATAATGTTAAATAACAAATAATTAGTGTCAAACATTTTCGGCGTGTGTATTTGTGTGTGCGTGTGTGAGAGAGAGAGGGGGGGGGAGGATAGAATGCGAGAAAAGTCCAAAATTCGAATTGAATTCTTACACTTCTAAGGTTTCTCACACGTGCTTGTTTTCGTGTTCACTATAACATGTTATATGTTTGGTGTATCCTCATACTCCATGTGAGAAAAGGCGTCTTTTCAGCAGTGGGATAATGTACCGCAACACCAGAGCAGGAGAAGGAACGAAGTGGTTTTTAGTCAGTAACAGTCTGACAATGCCTCTAGCCTGGGCGAGGGCAGCCTTTAAATTACTTCCCCCCTCAAAGAAAAAGCAATAGGATCAATTAAGAGCTGGCGAGAGTGCTATCTAAAACAGTTCATCCATGTTTCTTCAGACGAACCTTGGGACGTGAGGTTTGCAGTGAAGTTTTACCCGCCGGAGCCGAGCGAGCTGAAGGATGACGCCACCAGGTACCAGATAGCGCTGGCCGTCAGACGAGATCTCATGGAAGGTAAGAGTACAGTGTGAATATGAGTAGCCTATTACAATTGGTTAGACTAGCAGAATGTCGGTCCTTATATCAGCTTGGAGTTGTCATGCTCACTCAAAGGTCACACTGGCGGTGGCATAGGCGCTGGATCTCTTAATTCCCAATAATATGGTTGAGTTGGGCGATGCTGGTGTACGTGTCATGGTCGTGAACGGGAACAGATGGTTAAGGTTATTTTCTTTTTATATTTGAATAAATATTAGTGTTACACTGTCCTCACATAATGGAACCAACTGTTTGTAAAAAGAATCTGTATGTGAAACTGATTTAAAAAGAGTAACCATGGAGTTTCTTGCTCGTTCTTCTCCATCGGAATCTTCTCATCAGGTAAAATCCGTCAGCTCATCTGCAGTCCCTATCACATAAAACAAAAAATTACATCTTGAACGAATTCACTGTTGACTGACGACGACGAAAATACCCAATCATTATGGCTGTTCTACTATTCTTTGACACTTTCATTACCGCTCTACGATTTTCACAACGGTATCGCGGGTGCCGCTTACATATCTCGTACATTTTACGTTGATTTCGCCGGGCGCGTCCACGGCGCTGGAAAAAACTTACGTGGACTCTGGGCGAGTTGGAGGCAGTCAGAATTAATTGTTGACTGGCGGATAATGCTCAATTATATGGCTATTCTATAATAATAATACAATAATATTTGAAGGCACCGGGAGGTCGGTACAAACATCAACATCCCGATCGTCGTCTTCACAGTCTATAGGCGTAGGATTTTATAATCAGACCGAATAAATTACAAAAATATCGGACGTCTGCGATCCGTCTCAGACGACAGTCACAACGCTCCATATTATTATACTCTTTGCAGCGCTCGCTCTCTTCAGCCGGGGTTGCGGGGTAAGCGCAATGAGGTACCGCGACCTCGGCACAGAGCAGGAGAAGGAACAGGGGGGTTTTTAGTCAGTAAGAGTCTGACACTCCCTCCTGCCCGGCCCTGGGCGGGAGAAGTCATTTGATAATTTTCCCCTCACAAAAAAAAAGCGCTCGCTCTCCACCATAATGCGCACGCAGCGCAGAACTGTCTGTTTGACGTTCCGCCAGAGTACGATTACGATTCATTGTACGATTCATTGTACCCTCGTCCGATGAATTGTGATAAAACCTCCTTCAAAATTCAATTTAAATAATCGACGCGCCGTCATATACTTTATTGTACACCATTAGGACAACAACATAAAAAATAAATAAAAACAAACAAACATGAGTACCAAAGGCGGTCTTATCGCTAAAAAGCAATCTCTTCCAGACAACCTTTGGATGGAATCAAACTGTAGAAGATTTTGGAACAGGGCAGTTAATGGCATACATTGAGATAAATAAATATACATACATATTCTTTAAAGGAGTCCAGAGTATTTCCTTTAACCAGTACCCATGCCCTGGCAGGTCGGTTGACTTGCTCGCAGATAACATATGCGCTGCTGTCATCATACGTGCTGCAGGCGGAGCTGGGCGACCGCGGCGACTGCAGCGACATCTGCGCCGCGCTGCACCAACACTGCGCCGCACCACTCAACGTCATCACGCCAGAACTCGAGGCTAACATCGACGAACTCTACCGGAAACACAAGTGAGGATTAAGAGCCTTTTTTTTCGAGAGAAAATCGAGGTTGAGAACGCCATGGCGTTTCTCTAGCTACTCCTCAAGAGAGAGGTCTTTCCGCTGCTATTATAATATTATTACTTGGTGATAAGCTAGTGGAGTCAAATCCCCAAAAGCTCTTCGATTATTGCGGATGTCCAGTGAGACATAATATTATGATGATTTTGCCCTCACGAAAAAAAAAAACATCTACTATAAACAATCTTGACCAGATGTAATTTTTGTTGAATGTTCTGGTTCCTGTCCCCAGAGGCCAGTCCCCAGCGGAGGCGGAGCTGAACTACCTGGAGACGGCGAAGCGCCTCGCGCAGTATGGCGCCGAGCTGCACGCCGCGCTCGACTGTAACGCCGTCCCCATCGCGCTCGCCGTCTGCCATGCCGGGGTCGCCGTCTATAGGGACGGGTGAGATATACACATATTTTCTATAGTTTTAGCAGTAACAACTTTAAATTGTCGACAGGCCTCTTCGCTTGAAGAAAAGACGGCCAAATTACTAAAAGGCTTTTCTCACAAAGTGAGACGAGAGGGGATGTCAGATTTTTACTGACTAAAAACCTCCCCGTTCCTTCTCCTGCTGTGGGCCGAGGTCGCGGTGCCCGCTTCATGATTATTAAGAAATTTCTGACATACGGTGAAGGAAAACATCGTGAGGAAACCAGGACTTAACATTTCGAATTATAAGTTTGCAATCATCAATCCGCCTTGAGCAAGCGTGGTGATTAATGCACAAACCTGCTCCGTGATGATGTGATGTGAACCGAGAAGTGTCCTGTTCTCCAGACTCCCAATGAACCGGTTCCCCTGGGCCAAGATCACGAAGATCAGCTACAACAAGCGTCAGTTCACGCTGCGGCTGCGGGCGGCCGACTTCGAGGAGTTCGAGACTCTGCTCAGCTTCAGGCTCGCCTCCACCTCCGCATGCAAGAAGCTCTGGCGATGCAGCGTCGAGCATCACATGTTCTTCAGGTAAGCAGTATACCTACACTATTTGCAGAAATATAAAAGCCTTTGTAGCATTACGAATAGTTTCATAATGTTACAAAAAAACATCGTGAAGAAACCTGGACTTGTATTCCAAACTATAATATTGTAAATGCGAAAGTTACTCTGTCTGTCTGTCTGTATTTTCTTCTCGCCTAAACTACTGAACCGATTTCTGTGAAATTTGCTAGAGACATAGTTTGGAACTCGAGAAAGGACATAGGATATTTTTTATACCAAAAATCTATAGGAAGTCACTATTCCACAAGAACGGAGGCGCGGGCAAAAGCTAGTTTCCTTATAAGTTCGAAATCGCCAATTCGTCTTGAGCAAGCGAGTTGATTAATGCTCAAACCTTCTCCGTGTGAGAAGAGGCCTTTGTTCAGCAGTGGGAACTTATAGGTTGATATTGATGACCTCTAATTAATAATAATTAATAAAAATCAATTAATCGATTTCAGACGCGAATATCCGGTAACAGTAGAACGTATCCCCGGTTTTGCCCGGCTGGGGTCTCGCCGCTTATCCTGCAGACGGACGCTGCGTCAGATGAGAGCCGAATCCGACAACACGCCTACGGCAGCCTGACATCGCATCAACCGTGCCATTGGGATACCATCGACCACTGTTTTATGAACACACTAGATAATGCCGCGCGGTTTCACTCGCTGTTTTGTAACATATTTGGAATATATTTGTTACATAATTGACATACCTCTCTGTAATATAAAAAATTGACACATTTTTTAAAAACTTGCAGTTTTTCTAGTAGTAATTATATTTCTATTGGAAAATATTATCTAAAGATAAAATACACTTGAGATATTTCTAAGTGTGGGAGAGCCATGCTTCGCCACGAATGGGTCGGCTCGACCGGAGTGATATGCCCTCCCTATGTTTAATATCCAATAACAGTCAGGAACAGTGAAATTATTTTGGAAATCCGACAAAGATTACCTACCCCCTACATACAAACTTACAAATTTTACCTCTTTATAATATTAGTACTTACCTATAGATATCATCACAACCTTAAATACTCCAAGGGGGTAGGCAGGGCATATAAATATTGTGATAAGTGATATTCACTTGTCATCTTATATTTCCTGGGTATGTATTAATTGCCATACAAATATCGACTGTATAAGTTATGTATTAAGATTAAGAATTGTTTAAATTGCAAAGCTTGGTTTATATTTTATTATCCGAAGTGTATCAATGTTTTTGTGTAGATTGTAATTATTTGTAATTTTAATTAATAATAAAGAAATAAATAAATGCGACAATAATACAATTCAACGTTTATACGTATTTTTTTTATTTTTATATTGTTCAGTAAGTACTACTATAAGTAGGCATAATAATTATTGTGACATTAATAATAAAATGTTGAATTCATGAGCTAGTTAATGAGTTTAAAATTTTATATTTAGGCGAACCAACGACGAATTCTCAGAAGAAACGATCTCACGGAAAACGCCTGAATCACATCGCCGAGTGAGTCAGTTTACAAAAGGTCCAATCCTTCCACTCCCAATATCCCTCCCTAATCCCTAAATCTCCAAAATCTCGTATTCCCAAAAGGCTTTCAACTCTTCTGGTGTTCGGGGTTTCCATGGGCGGCGCTGATTGCTTACCAAGAAGAAAGAACGGGATGAGTTAGTGAGAGTCTGAAACTACCTCTCGCCCCACCCAAGAAGGAAGAAGTGATTTGATGATTTTTCCTTGAGCATAAATAGCTGATTTCTATGAAATAGCAGATCTATATTAGAATATTAAACCGCATAATGGTATCGCCCGCTAATTAGACCCGCCCACTTCAATATGAGTCACTATTTACTACAATAGGTTTGTGAAAATTCACATACTTACATAATATATGATAAACTTACTTAATATTATAAATGCAGAAGTTACAATGATTGGATGTTTGTGGTAGGTATCACTTCGGTCGAGCCGACCCGTTCGTGCTGAAGCATGACTTTTACATTTTTAAAATTAGTAAGATGAGAGAAGTTGTTTAGTTCTTTAATGAAATGGGGAAATAATGAACTTGTGACAGAACATATGTATATATATGTATGCCTACAGTAATATACAAATATGTGATGGCTCAGTGACTTAGCAAACATCTCTAACGTTGCGGGTCGTAAGTTCTATGCCGGCATAGAATAATCAAATATTTGTATAGTCAACGGCTCGCAGGATTGAATACTATTTAGATATCGGCAAAAAGGTAAGGATGAGAAAATAACATCGAAAACTACATTCGTTAAATATGGGTTCAGTGATTTTTCATTTAATGAATACGTCATTAAAATAATAATAATTACAAAAAGGTGCATAAAAATTGTAATTAAGTATTTTTATATGATCCTAACTAATATTATAAATGCGAAAGTAACTCTGTCTGTCTGACTGTCTTTTCTTCACGCCTAGACTACTAGACTAAACTTGGTGCAGACGTAGTTTGGCACTCCAGAAAGGACATAGGATAGTTTTTATACCAAAATCTGCAGGAAGTCACTATTCCACGCGAACAACAAACAAAACTAACCTTAGTTTTCCTATAAATTCTCTGTACCTTAATAATGATACAAGTCTTTTTTTTGTGAGGGGAAAATCATCAAATGACTTCTCCCGCCCAGGGTCAGGCGGGAGGGAGTGTCAGACTCTTACTGACTAAAACCCCCCTGTTCCTTCTCCTGCTCTGAGCCGAGGTCGCGGTGCCTCATTGCGCTTACCCCGCAACCCCGGCTGAACATCAGCCCTATGGGGCCCCGTCTGTGGTGGTCTATTGGCTCTTTGAGGCGCGCGCGGAACGCTACGCGCCGTACGCTCGGGTCTGGTTCTGGTCGGACGGCGAGCTACCCTCACTCGTCGTCCGCAGACCCGCGTATGATACAAGTCTAGGGGCTGATTTTTCAATGGTTAACTAAAAGTTACCTGAGGAATAATTATGTTGCTGTCGCATCACAATATTTGTATAAGACAGTGACAGCAAAAACATTTTATTCCACAGATAACATTTATCTGACTGTTGAAAAATCAGCCCTAAACGGTCTAGATTAAAAGTAACTGTCACAATTGTTTAATTGATATTCAATTTTATTACACGGGTTTAATGTTGAAATTTTATTGAATAGTTGATTAACCTTTAATAATACTATACTTTAAAATGTAATTAATGTAATAACACAGCTGGTTTCAAAGCAGGCGTCAGTAGCAATTTTAAATGTATTATATAAAATACTGTTTAAGTGTTGATTTTTCTAAATTGATTCTATACCTAATTAGGCATCTTTGTAGGTACCTAAGTATGATTATCCGGCAAGTATCATTGTCAATTTATTTGTCACGCAAAAGTTTGTAAGTATTGATGGATATATGTTTGTTACTCTTTCTCGAAAACTACTGAATGAATTTTGATAAAAGTGGTTTTTGCGTAAATGTTTTGATTACTTATAGTCTAGAGTAGCACCTAGACCTTCCATCCGAAGCCGCTGGCAAGAGTTAGTAATTTACAGGACTGGCTAATTACTATTTAAGCATTTATTAGTGTCAAGTTTAGGTACAGAACATAGTGACTTAAAAATCAACAGTGTTAAGACTATTACTGTGGTGGTCTATTGCCTCATGAGACAATAGACCACCACATATAGGTCCTGTAAGACCGATCTTCAACCAGAGACAAAGTACGCTGTGGACTTTTTTATCTATTATACACTACTATAGATGTGGCCCAACAGGTATTTTTTTGTCAGAGGAAAATCATCAAATGACTTCTCCCGCCGCAAGAGAAAGGCGAGAGAGATTCTCAGATTCTTACTGACTAAAACCCCCTGTTCATTGACCTGCTTTAGGCCGAGGCCGCGGTGACACATTGCGCCTACCCTGCAACCCCGGCTGAGACGCAACAGGGCTGACGTTTAGACGGGGTTACAGGTCAAGCGCATGTACGTACCGTGGCCTCGACCAAGAGCAGAAGAAGGAACCAGGTGATTTTAGGACCTTAAGAGTTTAACATTCCCTTACGCCCAGGAAGAGGAATACATTTGACATTTTGAAAACAACCTTTCAAAAAAAATAACAATACGTTAAATTTAAATTTGAACGAAAAAGAATGCTAAATTGATCGCTTTGAAATTCTATTTTTAAAAACATGTGTTTATTTTGTTAATATTTATTCTTTTATTTTTATAGTTTTATTGTAATAAAGCCTTTATGCGCTTTTCAGTTCAGACAATAAGGTTTTTGTTACAAAGAAGTTGTATGCACGAATGCCGACGCAAAATTGTTCATTTGTTTCGATTCTCAACTTTATCCTTTCATCAATACAGTTTAAAATGTAATACACAACTATGCTGTAAAGATATTTATATTTTTATATGAATGGTTCATTAAACCTGTGTTGGCCATTAACCAAATTTAGTGATTTTAAAATTAGACTTACCAACTCCTTTGTGTTTCGAAGAAAAACAGAAAAAACAAAAGACGCATCACACATTCATTTTATTAAAGTAATACTTTGAACCCATTATTATTATTTGACATTAATATTATGTTTTTTTATGCAAACGAGCAGACGAATTACCTGATGGTAAGCAATCGGGTTGTGGCGCCCTCAGCTTCCGGCTAGACGTCGTCGGGTGGCCGGCCCAGACGACAGACTCGGGGTATCTTGTCGTCCGACCTGCAGCAGACGTCCTACGCGCGCACCTCTTAGTCGGGGTGAGGGCCGCAGTGGGTGACGGGCCCGCCAGACTAACTAGCGGGCCAATACCCGTCGGGGGGTTGCGACGAATGCTTCATTGATACCCGTCCCTCCGACACATGGGTAAGTGGAGGAACACCGGGTTGGTTTTTAATCAGTAAGAGTCTGACAGTACCCTTCGCCCTTCCCCGAGGGCGGTGGATCCCCATGAGAATTTTCCAACCCGATACAAAAAAAGCAATCGAGTTGTAAGTGCATTGCCTTCCTTTTGGGAATAAGGATTTTTTGTGATTTAAGGATTGGGAAGTAAATTGGAAGGATTGGGCTTCCGGTAACCTCACTCACAAGCACAAAGATGTGGTTGTTTCACGCCGGTTTTCAGTGAGGCCATCACTCTGTCGCAGGCGACCCAATCATGCCGAAGCCGAGTTAGATTCGATTTTTTATTTGTTTGAATTGAATAATCTTTGAAACAACCGGAAATATTTGAAAAATTCTTTCACTGCTTTCAGCGGTGGATCTGCCTAAAGGCATTTTGGGCTGTAGCTCTTGACTCCGAAGAAATGAAGGACCTCAAGCCCAACAGATAATAAAAATGAGAACTTTTGATAACTAACTACTGCAACTGATTATTTTTATTTATTTATTTTTTTTTTTTTTTGTAAAAAATCTTGTTCATCAGTTTAGTGAGCTCCCAAATTTTTTTGGCCCAGGACCTCCCTTATTTCCTGTCCATCCAGGACTACTGGGAAGTTACACTATTCCTGGTGAACATAGACTATGAACTATAAGAGTGAAACCACGGGGCACAGCTATAGATCATGAAGTATTGATCATTATACTGATCACTAGAAGAAGACCCTCTCAACGATATCCTGTTAAGTTCGGTCGCAGGTTAACGCCTTAGTTTGTCCAGGAATGTTTTAAAAAACCTAAATTATTCTTATATATTTCCTCCCAAATACATGACTAGGTTCACAAAATGTTCAAAACCACAAGGACATTGTGATCAAGTTGTGAACAATCAATATTGTCATCATCTATATTTAGTTTCTCATTCATCTCGTCACTATGTAAAGTAACTAGAAATATACATTAATATTCTTACTGTACATACGAGCCGACAAATTACCTGATGGTAAGCAATCAGCACCGCCCATGGACACCCGT